TAAATTCATTAAATTCCTATTACTGGAACAATGCCAACCATAAATAGTGTGAAAACAGGGTTTTATATTTAATTAAAATCGTAATGATTATAACGTATTATTATTATTATTATTATTATTATTATTATTATTATTATTATTTCTTTAAAAACCAAACAGACAGCTGTTCAGATTATTGAGATGTAAATTATCGGAAATGTAAATAGAGGACTTAATTTCCAAAATGCTGTGCTTTCCATTTGGTTAAATAAAAAAAAACGTATCTTTAATTCCGTTATCAGCAACAATATTGTAGTGTCATTTAAAATGTCTGTGTCTGTCACAAAACAAACTGCATGGAGTGCTGCTTGTGTGTCTGTTTGCTTTTTGTCAGTCAAGCACTTGAACTCTCCACTACATAATTTAACGAACATGCTTAAAAGATTAGACCCAAAGTCCTTTGCTGTGATAGGAATTTTAACAGCCACCTGATTGACAAGTGAGAGCTAATGATCTTCACTTCTGCATTGCCTCAACATGTTTTGGCCATATTTCATGTTCATGAGAGGTGCTCTTGTAGTAAATTACCCTCAGTGACACTTTAGTATGAGTGGAGCTTGTAGTCAGAGTATCAGGTGTCTGACTGTCACACATCTTCATTTGGCTTTTCATTTTGCTTCGTTATTCTGCCTCACACTGACAGCCGTCGAGTCATACTCACTCATGCCAATACACAGAGAATAGTTCAAATTGGGCTGAAGCCCATGTCTGCCACACATGTATAACTGGAAACTAGTCTTTACTCCATCAGTTTTCGCTTGGTTCAGGTGTTGAGGATGAAGGTGTATAAATGTGTGACGATGAAGCAGAACGATGCACGTCTGTTGACCTTTCCTATATTAATAAACCACCATCCATAGAAACGTTTCGTTGCCACCCTAGACCTTTAATGTCAGGTCTCTGGAGCCTCCTGGGAAATCGGATAAAGCAGATAGAGTGCAGATGGGTGGAAGAATACAGTGATTCAGCTGTGAGCTTCATGCATGGCCAGCCCACAGCAACGAAGTCCCATCCCTATCTGCTGTGCTCTTAAAGCTGAGCACTGGTGTCTCTTTGCTCCTGGCTGTTCACCTGTGTGCAGCCCTGTCTCCTCTCCTTATTCCTCCGCTGCCTCCAATGACTGACAGTTACTGTGTCTCCCTGTCTCTGTGTCTCTGTAGCTTACAGCTCTGATACAGCATAAGGAGAGAGAACAGTATCAAATCATTATTTTTGATATACTATACTACTTTAGTGATGTGTATGACCCAAGGTGTCCATGAAAAACTGGTTGTTGCCATTTTATCTCTCCGAAAACCATGCGTTATCGTTTGTTGTTGAAAGCTACATAGATGGTTAACAAAGGGTAGTTATTAACTTTTTGACTTATATAAAACATTGCATTGCATATCCACTTGACATAATATTTGTTGACTAAAGAAAGATAAAACCTTTGAGAGTCATGATGCTGTGCACAGGAATCAGGTGCATTCTGGGGCATTTTTATGCCTTTATTACAGACTGTAGAGAGAGATGCAACATCCCGGGGCGTTGCTGCTCCATGGTTGGTATCTTAAGCCCTAAGCCACGCTGGCACCCTGGCAGCTATACTTTTGATGGTTTGTTTCTCTGTTACATAACAGCAGTTACAGAATTACGGTAATTCCAGGCCTTGCTGACCTCTGACTCTTGAACCGTTTACCAATGTTATGAAGAGCTCAAGATTATATAAGAATAAGAGCTTTGTCCTAGTATTGTCCTCAGTTTGAGCAGGTCAGTGCGTGATGAATATTAAAAACATGAATATGGTTTTGTATTCTCACCCCCCCTCCAACGCCTTTGTGTCACTTCATTGAATCAGGCTGCTCAGACACAGTTGTTGGCGGGGAGGTGTAATCCATCACTGTAGGGAAATTGACTTGGCCAGCTCGTTCCTGTGAGTGCAGCTTCACTTAAATGTTTCAAAGGAACTTTTACTCAGTCACATCAGGATGCATCCACTGACTGACCTGCTACTTTACTTTTATAAATGTGTACTCATCAGGTCAAGTCCGGTGTGGCCACAGTGACCACATGGGAAGAAAATACAATTACTTTAATACTTTACTGTGTATTTCAAAGTGTCTTTTATATTGAGGATGTTTCAAATGCATTTTTTAAGCACGTCCACTATCTGATTATGCATTTCTAATGCGTAAATTAAATTATAGCTCAATTTCAATCATACAGTTTCCCTATTTTAGGTCAAAGAAATATTCCAAATACATTCCCTTTTCAAATGGAAATTCTGTTCAGTAATAAGCTCTCAAAAATGACATTGAAACAGCAAGTGATCCTTTGGGTATATTTGTGTGCGTTTTTTTGCGTGTGTTTGTGTGTGTGTGTGTGTGTGTGGGTTGCGGTTCTATGCCAAAGGCAAATTAGATTAAAATCCCTCACAGTGTGATGTTAATGAAGCCATTATTGACGCTACAACCCCACAGTCAACTCCATTCTTCACTCTTTCCCCTTTTGCCTGCTTTCATTCATTTCTCTCCTCAGTCTTTCCTCCTTTGTGCTGACATGAATATATTCATCAAATACACTGAATTTAAAGACGGCAGTCTGAATGACAGCGTAGTCTCACACACGTATTATACTGGGAAAGAAGGCTTTAAATAAACTCCTGAAGTTATTGGTTTTATAAGAGACGTACCATCGATTTAAGTCTGTTTTTGTCTCCTATTATAATTCCTTCTCTCATCACTCTTTCTTCCGTCTTTCTTATTCTTTCCTTGTCTCTTTTCACCACCCACTCATATACACAGACAAGCAAGCTGCATGTGACCAGGTCAGTCAGGTCAGGCCATAATTGTCTTAATTTTCAAATATATTGGTCTAGTATTTGTCATTCCCGTCAGTACAGCATGGCACAGTATAGAGCTCATCATAATGTGCCCAACACTGTCTTATCATCTCTCATTTGCATTACTTTCACATTCCAATTCATTTCATTTCCCACAATTTATTTTATTTTAAGGACTATTAACTTATTTCCAAGGTCAAGAATAAACTTCCTCTTACAGTGAAGAAGCATCACAAAGACGTCTGTGATTACATGTAATTATAATTTATTTCAAGGCCTAAGAAATGAGTCACCGCTCAGACGTTTAAAGACCTTTTTTGATCTTTAGGTAGTCTGTTTTTAGCTCTTCATCCCTCAGCAGAGAGCTCCCTGTAACCTCCAAAAGCAGAAAAGAAAGAAAATATTTTTTACTTTAAGTACGCAGTCTCTGTGGGAAAGAAGCAAAAGTGAGTTAAACAACTGTGAAGTACCACATTAAATCCCCCTGTGGCTGCTTCGGTATCAGGGTTTTGTTGAATATTCATTGATGCAGAAGATTTTACAGATGATAGTTACAGAAGGGTTTTGTTGTCACAGAAGATGCACTGCATTGCATGTCTTCACGTCTTCACGTCTTCACTGTCACACGCTGTCACGCATGTGCAGTAATTTAGCCAGAGTTTTTCATCCGGCTGCTGTAAACAATAGGATTATACTGCGTTCATCTGTGCCACATGGACAGACCTAATGTAGTAGATGTGGTGGTTGCCCATGACCTAAATCAGACTCTACACAGAGCTTTCATCTTCTTGGAGGAGAGGTTTTTGGTTTTTCTGTGCACATTGAAAGATCAAAAAAGAGGTGGATGTATTGTTTTATTCCTCTTACTTTTGATGTATTCATGTTGTTTGTGTACCAGTGCGTTTTGATATTGTAAGCTCTATTAGCATGTGAGCCCTGCTCCCTCCTCCTCACTATATAGAGGGTAGCTCAGCAACAGGCTTTATCAGATTGTTTGTGTTCTCTAAGTGCTTCTCTGTGTGAGTTTTGAAGACATAAAATAAAAATCTGGTTGTGTTTTAGGTGTCACTGTCAATACCCATGCATAGGCTACATTTCTGTCTGCAAACCACTTAACCACACATGCTCGACTCATAAAACACACGTTTTTAGTATGTGTCACCTTAATGGGAACAAAATCTTGGCAGCGTTGGAGTGTTACTGTTTTTGGATGTGCAGCTTTCCCACTAGCAACATTATCCATCTGCTGCAGATTATTAGAAAATATACTGGTTAGCGCAGTGTTCATTCCTGCTATGGTAAATGCACCAGGTGTAAGTTTTATTATACAGATACAATGGATTATCTGGTAATGTGCTAAACATAACGGAGAGTATTGTCAAGCAGGAGGAGAAAGAGCAGACGAGAGAGACATGAATATAAAGAAAGTGAAAGGAAAGGAAGAGGGAGTTGTGCGTCTGTGTGTTTATGTCCAGTGTCCTTACATGTCATGTAGCAAGACAAGACGGCTAGAGAGGGACATAAAGCTATTAGCGAATGTAGGAGAATCGGTAGCACTCTAGACTCACACTACACTGAATCCTCCAACTGTGACTTCATACATCATTGTATCCTCTACTGTCCCTGAGTGAAAATTACTACCATGAAATAGATAGCTGTGTCTGGGTGTGTGCTGAGAAAAATTATGTTAATGGAAATGCACCATCTTGTACCCTGTAAAGTGGTCTACTGTTTGGTGATAACCAGTAATATTGGTACCCAGTGCATGTGTGACCAAGGGCTAGTGCTCAGCTTCTGCCACAACTCAGAAACCTGTGTGTGTTGCACACAAATTATTTTCCAGCTTAGAAAAAACTGCTTAGGTGCCGTGTGACTGTAGAGGGAAGTCACTGTATGTGCAGCAGCAACTGAAAGAATGCCCCAAACTGTCCAATTAAAATCAAACTGATGACTCAGAATAAGATGGTAGTCACTGTATTTGCAGGCAAGCTAGGTATGTATGAAAGGCATCCTCTGAATGATAGGAAAAGTCACACGGCAGCTGGTTGTGGTTTCACCTGTCAGTCTGTGCATTTGTGTGTGTTTTTGGAAAAGCAAAATGACACTAATAAGCTTTTTCTCACTCTCTCTTCTATAGTTGTGGCAGCAGAGCCGCTGGTCCGAGGCCTGAGGAAACTCCCCGAAGATATCGACTGGTCGTACTCAGGTCAGTATGAGCTGTTTGCTGTTTAACCTACAACAATGACTTTTTAACTGGTCTCAATTTAAAGAGGTACTCCACACTTGAACACACTTAAGCTGTAAACTAAAGGCTGTAAAAATGTACAGCCTGTAACTGTAAGTACTGGTGATATAAATGGTGATAGTATCTTAATATTTAGGTCATCTGTTGTCAGTCAAATATGCAACTTATTTAGTGACTAACAGTGTAAATCAGCCCATGATGCAAAATACAAATTTAAGAAAAAAAAAAAAAGTTTATTTAAATTTTCTTTTTAAATGTCTTTATACATATGTTTCAGAATCCATTCTACATCAATAATAAAAGCATTAAAACACAAGCAAAATAAAGTACGGTACAATTGTAAACACACAGGAACTGTTTCTCTATGTTCTCAGATGACTCAAACTTGATTGTTCGACCATCAATCAGTGACAGGAAGTTTCAATTGGAAAGCCCCAAAGATCGAGTTGCCCTCTGCTCGCCTGTCTAAATCACACAGACATTACTTAAAAGAGACAGTACTCGGGACAGTGCCATCAGATTAGTGAATGTCAGTCTGAGCAGTCTGAATATCACTTGAATTGAAGGAATTGTCTGTTAAGATCTCCCGCGAGAGAGCCTTGATCTGCCTCGGACCATATGGTTGGATGACATCAGCTAACTCAGCACAAAGCCCCTGCCGGGCTAAGCTGTGGTCCAACAGAAATAAAGAGTGGAAACAGACAGACAGTAATGGTCCCAGAGGGAGTGATTAGCTTCTTAATGATCGCAGGGGGACTCAGGAGGAGCGATCACGCTTAACAGGTCATCAGTGGGCTAAATACAAACCTATTCAATGTATAAACCTACACCCCAAATGGATTGCTGGTGGTAATTGACGTGTCATTGGAAGCTCATAATACTTTGATGATATATAACAGGACTGCAGTCCACATAGCCCTCTCATGGTAGATGCACCAAGTATAAAACTTCCTCTTGTACAAGCCATTGTTTCAGAACTTCCCCCAGCTCGACTGCAAATTAGACCAGCAGCTTATTAGCTGAGAGGTTGTTCACTAGCTGGAGCAGGCACACTAAATCTATATTGAACACAATCAAATGGATAATTACTGATGAAGGTCTCGGTAATTGTATTAATTGTAGGAAAAGTGAAAACATTATTGATCCTGCTCATTATAAATATAACAGCTTTATTTTTCAGCCATGACTGTTTCTCAGAAATAAGTATTGATGGCTTGTAGGGACGTTTTGAGCAGCCGGTAATGAGAAGAGAGTTGGCAGTGCTGTTCTCCGGTGTGCTGGATCCAGTGTTTGGATGTGTCCTTTGAGGCCCTGCCTTTCAGCCGCTTACAAAGACACACAGTTAATGCCACTCTGCCACTCAAAAAACGTGATGCTGTGTTCAGGAGCCAAAATTATAAAAAGGAAATGAGTTGCAGAGCATTTGCACAGTGATGAGCACTGTATATTTTTAAATTGAATTAACCAGAAAGTGTGTGAAGATTTTTCTTTGTCAGTCTGCTCGCTTTTAGTCAGTGCTTTTATCTACATTTCTAAAGATTCCCATTAAACCATGACAGCCAATGTCAGGTAAAATATGTTAGTTCAATGTGCACTGAAATGACTTCACATCACAACCACATTCTAGGAAATTAAATGCACAGTATGTACTTTCTGCAGCTAGGGACTCTCTCACATTACAACACTAATACAAGATGTAGGCTGATGATGAGTAGCATGGGATAATGGGAGGAGTTGTTAAACGGTTAAACAACCACCATTGGTGATTAAAATCTATCTGACGTGGCTCAATTATTCACAGATGACGTACTGTATTAAAGTTTAATTCAGGTTATGTTCAGTCACGTTCACCGACTTTCATCCCTCTCTCCGACGTATCCGATGTATTCCCCGAACATATTAGCAACTAGAGGCAAGCAAGGAAAAGCACCATTGACTGAATAAAATGACTGGGTTTGAGCATTGTTGGATACATTTAGGATATTGTAAGTACAGTCTCAACAAAATAGGTCTGTTTTTTTTAGACATTTTAATATGGAAATGTTACATATTATAAGTACAATTATAAAATATTAAATTATATGAAATATGTTCATTGATAACGTAGATAACAATTCAGTATAAAACCCAAACAGTATTTTTTGAGACATAACCAATTTGTTGAACTACAAGAAATGACACTACATTATGAATTGCTTGTGATGGGTCTGAACCCCCAGTTAAATTAACTTTGCGCACAGCGTTAAATATGAAACCTCGTCACGAGCCATGTTTTAATGGACTTACATTGATGCACTGACATTGAGTCAGATATACACACACACACACACACACACACACTACAGTACAGATGTGAGATTGTGTTTATTCGACATGTTCCTGCTCATATTAGTCAAAGCAACATGAATATCAGGAGATGCACATGTATTTTCATCTTGCAGATTGTTTTCCTTCCCTCTGTCAAATCTTAACAATCAATTCTCGGACACATACACCCCGTCTGTCAAAGTGTAATAGGTTTTTTTTGTGTGTGTTAAACTGAAATGGACATGAATGATGAAAAGCCTGTCTGCAATAGAAATGAAGTGTAGAAGCCCTTTCCTTTCCGTCCATGTCTTCTTCACTTCCATTTGTAATCTTGCTTTGTGTTTTACTTTCTTTCTTTCTTTGATTATTTCTTCATTCTGTACTCTATACTTCTCATTTTCCTCTCTGTTGGGTTTGGAAGTTCATCATCACAACTGACGGCAACTCAGTGGCAGTTCATTTAGATTCAGTGTAACAGTAGCCATTCCTGCCCCGTGTGTGTGTATGAGTGAGTGAGTGAGGGTGTGTGTGTATATATAGTGTACACAGTCTTGTTTTTCTATGCAGCTCTGTTTCTTGCCTTGTGCTGTGCACTGAGCTGTGAGTAAAAGCATTAACATGTGAAAGAAACCCACTCCATTGTGAGGCACCGTGCACAGCTTTTTAGTTGGGTCAGAAGTGGTGATGGTGGGAGAGGGAGACAAAGGGAAATAAAGGGACATAAAAGAAAGAGGGGGGGCAGGAGAGTAAGTGAGGAGTAAGGAGAGTAAGTAAGGAGAGTTGAAAAAGAAGAACTCAACTGAAAGGAAGAGAGGAAGAGGAGGAAAGTTTAAAATTAGGCTTCATCAATATCATAATACACCGTTTTCATCAAACAAACCATGATTGTTAGAGTCAGGTGATTGAAGATGCAGATTTGAAATCATATTTATATAGTGTCAGAATGTGTATACCTGCTGATAATCTATAGTTGAGGCAGAGATGGAATATAAATTCCAGTTTTTAGCAGTAATGTCTGTGCCAGCTTGCTTTCTTCATTTTGGTTGATGTAAATCTTGGTAGCTTGGTAAAATGATTAACATTAACCTGCACGTACACTGAGATTCCCTGTTCCTCCTCCTCCATGTTGTCCTCGTCATTCCTTTCTGCTTTGTCTCCTCGGGGTCCCTGGGATCCTTCTGCCTGGAGGACACCCCCCAGGGCCCCATCTGTTTTGTGTGTATGTGTGCATGTGTTTGTGTCTGATAATGCAGAGTTTCCTCTTCCAAGCAAATGCAGTGGGATGCAGTACATTTTTCAAAGGATACTGTTCCAGAAATCACAACAAAACTACAAGTCGGTATAAATACTATAGTGATACTGTTCTGCTACTACTTGTTTTTTGTATTGAAACAGCATTATAAGCCATTTCCAAAGAGTTACTTACCACAGAAAATCAATATGAACCATCAGAATAGTTATATACAGTTATTTCACATCAGTGTCTGTCTCCCTGTCTCTTCTTAGTCTTACCTGGGGGCAATCTAGGCTTCAGTACTCCCCTAGTGCTTTGCTTGGGGAGCGCACACACCTACATACAGATTTTAAATATGAATACTTTTTCCTGTCTGTATAAGTTCATAAAATTCTGTCCTTAAACCATTTCTTTGTATTATAAATGATCTGATTGAAAAGAGAAGTAGACTGTGGCAGACACCAAATGATTTATATGTTCCTATTTGGAATCAGATCACACTCTTGGTTAAATAGTGCAGCAGGTTCCAAGAAAACATCATGTATCTATCCTTCATTAGTACGGCAGGATCATTAGGATTAAACTAATACAGACAGCATGAGAGGCTGTGTGACGGCTCCATCTAACCAAACCCCAGAAGAATCCTTTATGTAAAATATACACTCATTATGAAAATGCTAATTCTGGATCAGTATGCAGGTGTGAACAATTTATAGTCATCTTACATTAAGTCATTTGCTGGTATGTTACCATTAAGTGTAACTGTCACCGATGAAGGGAAGGTAACATCAAAAGATGCAATTCTGAGATAATGTGGGTGCAGTTTTCCCATATACTGTAAAAGAAGTCCAGACCAACAGTAGCAGTGTGTGGGAAACCCCCCCTACAGCCTCCTCATTCATTTCAATGAGTCCACTGCATTGATGCTGTGTGAGTGCCACTGCAGAGGTCTCCAAAAAAACATGAAGGCTAGTCCAGCAAGGAGTTGAACTAGGCTCAACTTTTGCCGCAACGCGATATCATCTAGCTGCACACTGCGTTTGACAATCATATACACAAGTGCAGATTCCTGGTTGACGCCATGATTCTTCTGTTTACCTTACAATTGTTAGGACACAGGAGAAAAATGCTGTTATGTTATAGTTGTAAACTCCTATCTCATAGTTTTGTGCTGTGCTGTGTTTTGGTGTTCAATTCAAATTGAATTCATCAGCACAGGGGAAATGTGGTATATTAAGCAAATATAATAAAATAAAAACGAAAATAAAAATATAATAGAAAACCTGGAATTTATAGCTGTATACAATAAAGCTGAATGTGGTCCAGTCTGATAACTGGAATGGATAACTGTACATGTGCAGTGTTACAGGGTATTGTGTAATACAAAAGAAAAAAACAGTTGTGCAGGTTAATGGTTAAC